CTCCCAAAAACAGGTACATTGTCTTCTATTCTTAAAAGTACACACAATCCTTTCTGGAACGGAGAGTTGAAGACCTTTACCCAAGAAGCTACTCTACAGTGGTCATTTTCTTCAGGTACACCCGGGCCATTACAATCAAAATAGTGCTCAACATTAGCAAAAACATATTGATGAGAAGGACCTGCTATGACTTCAGGTGCAAGGCCCCTTTTACTGATAAGCCTATGGCAAAATCTGAGCTGGTTTTTAATGAACACTGTAAGTGGTAAATCTATTCTACTATTTGTTGAAATAACATAGTCTTTAAGTTCTCTGTGCTTTGATTCGAACCTCATACTCCACAGATGAACGAGAGGCCCAACTCTTAACATAATTGATTTATAATGGAGCATTAAATGTTGTTTTGGCTTCAATGGTTCATTGAACAACCTTAAAAATGTTGCATGGTGCTCTTGAATAATTGCTTCCACATAATTCTCGGCACCTCGAATAAATGAGGGGGCAAACAAAACATCAAGAAGAGTTCTGTGACAGACATAAAACTGCCAGTAAACATCATCTTCTGGTACTAAGTGACCTACAAATTCACCTAGGTATCTTGCAAAACATAACATTTCTGCAGCTGAGAAAAGGCACTGTTCAGATTGCAACTTTTCACGGGTCAAAATATGCAAAGGGGGCCTGTTTCCCACCTCCAGGCAACCATAGTTGAAACCTTCTACTCTCTGCTTCAAAAGTTCCAAATCAAAATAGCCTTGCTCATACATTAAGCACCACAAAATGCGTGACAAACAAACCCATAAGTCCCCCTCACAAATATCATGTTGTAAGTCACAGCTAATGGATGAACTACAGTGAAAATTAGGCACAGCATTCCATACACACTCTTCATGTACTCCCGTGGTCTGAAAATTGTTGGCTGCCACATCAACAGCATAATTATCACGAGTCCTTATCTCTGCATTACATACAATCTCATACTGCAACACAGTTTTGTGTCCTCTGCAGAACCTGCAATAAAAGTTTGCAGAAAAACTCTTGGAGAAACCACAAATTTCATTAATACCCTTGTTATCTCCAAGCACGCAACACAAACAGAAATATATTTTAAACATACCATTTTCAGTGATAACTTCGATTCCCTCATTGTAAAGGAACTGTAACTCCTCAATGACAGGCCGAAAGACTGCAGCATTCCCAAACAGTTTTCTATGTTTGGTCAGAAATATAGAGGCTACAAATATATTCTCAAGTGCTCCTAAATATTTAGCAGGCAAAACAGGAATGGAGCAATACAAGGGTCCTAACTCAGTGTCACCCCCATGTGCCATTAGGGTGTTGTCTGGGACAAAGTCATCATAACATAAATTTAGGGGTAAAACCAACTTATCACCAAAATTCTCAGAGCTCTCTCTCCACAGGGTTCCTTGAATGACATTAGAAACAACTTGCTCCTCATTATTTAAAAAATCCATATGATGAAGAATTTCCTGCAGAACGCCAGGCAATTCTAGAAATTGTTTTAAAGTGTGGCGAAGGGGAACTACTTGCCCCTTCACACCAACTTGCCCAGGAAGCATGACATCTCCTCTCCTTACCATTTCATTATTCAGCTGCCCTATGAAATAGGGAGATGGCTTTAATGAGGGACATGAGTCATTTAACACTGAAAATCTCTGATGTTCTGTTTTGAGGTGATTGAAAGGGTTTTTCATTACAGAAAACATTTGTCTAACACTAATTTTATCCTGCTCATGACCCTCAACATGAGTGAAAATACGTTCTACACTTGTCTCAAGAAACTCCAAATGACCACACATCAAAAATTCAGCTACAGAATTTAAAATACTGCTAACAAGAGCTCGATTGACATGGGGCAAGCCATAAAGTTTTGAAACAAATCCTAGTACCCCAGCACAGTACGACCGAACGAATACAGCTAGTTCTGGTTCAACGTCCTCATGTGGAAGTTGGTCATTGATTTCCTGGTCTGGGCCAACAACTTCCTCCTCTGCTTCTACATTGAGATCCACTTGCTGAACATTTCCTTCCTGGTCTGGTTCTAGAGGATGATCTCTGCGTAAATGATTAGCAAATGAATTTAGCGTATCAAACCGTCTTCCCCCACAGTGTGGTCTCGTTTGTCTGCAACTAAACCCGTTCAGCGCTGAGGACAGATTACCAGAATGTGTTGTTCGCAAATGAAACAACAGCTCTTTTACAGAGGGACGATGGTCATTACAAAACAAACAGAGATACATTGTCACTTATGTATTTCCTAATTACAGAAAAGTAATACCCAAACTTGATAACAAATACCAAATGAAACTAAAGAAAATAAATATAACTGTTAAATATAATATTAAATTACTATATATAACAAAACCAATAAATAATCAAGATACTTTTCAAGTTCTAAAGTGAAAGTAGCTACTCCAGATGCTTTTTGAAAGTAGCAACAGAAGATAGGTAGGTGCAATTAAATTTGTCGGATTTACATTTAATTTTAAATATTTCTTGTTGAATGAAAAGCCACGATTGGTCAGATTCAATAGGATACCAGGCATTTAAAACCTGGAATGATTTAAAAGCCAGGTCAACAGCCTGTAGAGGTCCAGGGACATGATAGAGTATCCCATTAATCGACACTTGACAATGGGTATATTGCATAAGAGAGGGTCCACTCAACACAATCAGAGGTTGGCACCTCAATCCAACTTTTTCCATAAACGTTTGACGTTTTTCTAGAGTTTCCTTAACCATATTAGGATCCTGTAGAAAGAGATAGAAACCAATAAGGATAACACATCCCAGAATAAAAAAATTGACCGGACTGTAAGTTGTGAAAGTTACCTTGACATGCAATATAAAGCCATCTCTTTGCTCAGCCAAAGTTGGTTTCCAGAACTTTTTCGCACCAAGTGGCTTTGATGGGTCTGCTGGGTAAGCAACACTAGTGTTCATTTTGAAGATAGATGGTAACAGCATTAAGTGTAGGAGTATCTCAACGCCTACAGAAGAGGAGTCTTCAATTAGTAATAAAATAGAATTGTAATAGAAGCTGATCAAAAATTAAAGAGACACTTACTTTCTGTAACACGATGTGAAGGGTTTGTCAGCTGAGAAATTAAAGTAGTGGAAAAAGAATCTTTGGCATGTTCAATAGCAGTTGACAACAGAGCCTTCTGAATACAAGGCCAAGTAGCAAACAGAAGCCCAGTCTTGTCGGGATATATCTTCTCAAAATCAGCCACAAGCTGTTATCAAAGAATCAAGGATTAAGAATGTGCCATAGGTGCAAACCTCTGAGAAAAAGAAACAAAATCTCACCAACTGCCAGCCTGCTTTGTCAGTTAATACTGGATATTCTACATAGTATTTTGGAATGTTGCTGTCCTTCCTAGATTTTGTGCGTGGATACAGGAGTTTCATTCTATCCTGATAAACTACATCCCAGTGACGCTGAACTTCTGGCCAAGGAGTCCTGTTGAACCTCAACCATGCCAGGCTCTGCTGCCTTTCTTCTGTTGAGTAACCTAGAAAAAAGTGAATAATAAGAATTTATTAAATACGTAAAACAATACCATGCATATTTCAATTCTTATTTGAGTATGAAAATAAAAATCAATACATACTCTTAGCAGGTGGGGGTGTATCGTCAGCAGAGCTAGTAGAGGCAGATGATCGGTGTCGCTTGTTACCACTATACTTCAATTTAGATTTCAAGTTGTTGTACTTGTCAACCAATTTTCCTGACACCAGTCTCCGTGTATGATCCGCTCCTAGATAGTATGTTGAAAGCTGTTCACCAGGTAGCACTTCCACAAGTTTTTCAGCAACTCCTCGAAGTTGCGGCAAAGTTAAGCTAAAATTAAAAATGAAAACATTAATAATAAGTGGGAAACATTACCTCAAATAACAAAATGTTAACAGCAATAGATATAAGAGCAGGTGCAGTCAAAAGAACTTGTTAACTTTCTTTGCACTGTTACGTACTTTAAAGAAAGTTTTAAGAGACATTGGCTGACAAGTACATCAAGAATGCTTTTCCTCCAGTCTCCCTTTGGTTGCACATTTATTTGAAGCTGAGTCAAAATATGTTTGCAGAGAGCATCCCCTTCCAGCACTGCTTTCACATCCTAAAAGAAAACAAAACACACACATGCAAAGTTTAAATTACTCGAAAGAAATTCATCTAAATTTCGTGACCACTACGTCACTGAAGGAAACACTTTGAATAGTACACATACAAACATATAAATACTCCATTGTACTAACCAGTGTCTCTAGAGCGCTCGCAACCAAAGTCTCTGCCAAAACTAGATCTTCGTAACTTCTCTTGGGTGCAGGGGAAGATGATACTGCTGAGCCTCCCTCAGTGATCATTAAAGATGCAACATCTGAGTTTGATGGGCCTGGCAGTGCATCACAAGTGAATCCTAATTCACTATTTGAATTCGATTGGCCTGGCACTGCATTATAAGTGAATCCTTCTGAGTTCGATGAGCCGGGCAGTGCATCATCAGTGAATGCAGATGCACTCTCTACAACCACCACCTCAACAGGTGTACCCTAAACACAAATAAAACAAATTACTGTGACATTTGAAAAGAACTTCAACGCGTAGCCTGAAATTCTATTAAGGAAAGTGAATTCACAATTACACCCAATGCTTACCTCAATAGACTTTTTAAGTTTACGTATTTTGCTCAATAACTTGACTCTTGGCCCATGAAGAGGAATGTACTTGGACAAACTTGAATCATCCAGCTCCAAGAGAGATTCAATATCAAATTGTTGGTCTGTGAAATAACAAAGGGGATATTTTTAACTCTAGGTTCTACTTTATCAAATGTGGAAGAGGTATTGAAACTATACCATACCCACCTCTGAACGGTTCCACGAGCTCCGGGTGGCCCCATTCAACTAGGAGATCAGAAACATCCATGGCGTTACTCTGAGTCTCTGAGTACGCACACGCACGGTCCACACAAGCATTTGATGGTTGACAGACCGATCAGCTGACACTCGACCGCCCCCCCC